CCGCATGTTTAGCTTTGCATTGTGAATAGATCAGTATATCATCAATGAAGAACATGACAAACTACTCGAAGAATGGCTAAAAGAATCTGTTAATCAAATCCATAAATGCTGCAAAAGCATTTAAAAAAACAAAAGGCATGACTAAGAATTCATTATGGCCATACCCGATTCTGAAGGTAGTATTGGGAACATCTTCTTTCTTAATCTTTAATTAATGGTATCCAGAACATATATCAATCTTTGAAAATATTTGGGCTCCTTGAAGTTGGTCAAACAGATCATTAATATGAGACAATGGATACTTGTTCTTTATGATAACTTGGTCTATTTGCCTATAGTCAATAGAGAGTTGCATGGTACCATAATTCTTCTTTACAGATAGTATTGGAGCTCCCCATGGTGATACACTTACTCTAATGAAAACCTTATCCTACAATTCTTACAATTGTTTCACGATTCAATATGGAACATTAGAGATATGGCTCGTACCAGGAATTAAGTCAATGAAGAATTGGATCTCCCAATCCAAAGGTAGACTTAGGAGATCTTCTAGGAAAACATTGAAAAATTCTTTCATCATAGGTATCTATTGTAGATTGACTTCTTCACTTTTATTCTCCACTATGTAATCCAAATACCCTGCACATCCTTTCTCAAGTAATCATTAAGCTTGAATGAAGATATGAGACATGGATGTTGGGGCTCTCTAACCCTTTTGAATTTGAAAGCCTTATCATTAGGAACATTATAGGCCACTGTCTTCCCATTACAGTCTATATTGGCATGGTACATCACAAATTAATCCATTTTTGGTATGATGTTAAAATCATGCATGTGTAAGAGTATATAAACATATGTACGATGCTCTAAATTTTCTTTCTTACATTGCTAAACAAAAGTATGAGATAGTAGCTTTAATCTCATAGTCTAGTTTCAAACTTTTCTCTCTGTTACCGTTTACTCTGTAGTAGTATCTTCGGTATCTGGAGGGTGATATGGGAGGTGAGATAAAATATCCCAATAAACAATATTATGAAATTACAGCATAATACATGCAATATATGTTAGAACAAAATTTCTTTTCAAATTCGTAGATCTGTAAAAAATTAAACATACATCTTTGTATTGAATTAAAGAGAAATAGAATAAGAAGCATACCTGAATCCATCATAGAAGATTTGTTCACGTCTGACGATAGGATCTTCCAAAGTAATACAGCGCCTTGAAACTAGTTTTTTTGTGTGAGTGGATTTCATAAAATTAAAATAACAGCCTTACGATTCGGGGACCGAACTACCTTATATAGACTAACTTTTGCAAATTTCATTTCACCCATCATAAAATAAAAATATTATAAAAATGGTATCTGCACATTAATCGCCCATACTTAAACTTGATGCATTAAGGTCCAATATTGTTTAACCATATTTGATCACTTTAAACTAGCCCATTAAATTGATAACTTGATAGCATACTAAGGTCCACATTAAGCCCACATGTTAGAAAAACCAACAATTTCCCACTTGGTCTTTATGTGACACCTTAATTATGCGTTAATAATTATAGGAGTAATCAAAACTATGTTATCAATACCTGAATGCATCAGCAAACAATCCCGTCCATCAATCATAAAGACATAAGATCAAAGTGGCCTTCGCTACAATTAACGTAGTTAAACCCATCAATGGTCATGTATATCAGTATAACTGAACGATATGGATCAAGCATAGATGTGCAGCATGAAAATTACATGCTATGTGATCTAAGTATGCCTATTTCCAACTGGTCCTGCCTTAAACTTAGTGAGATCAACTATAAGAAAATTTAGAGATAATAATATATATAAACATAAATACAAAAGTAAAAACTTAAACGAAACCATATATCCATAAACTAAACCAAAGTACATAATTTATGACATGTCTTATAAAATAAATGCAACTATGGTACAAGACTCCCATTGAAACTACACATCATCTAGGGATACAACACCCATATGAGCAATGTGCTCATGAAAGATCTTAGGTGGTAATCCCTTAGTGAGCGGATCGGCAATCATGAAGTTTGTTCCAATGTGCTCTATCGATATCTGCTTACTCTGAACTCTTTCTTTAACAACAAGGAACTTAATATATATAAGTTTTTACTTTGTTGAACTCCTGTTGTTGTTGGAATACATAACTACATATTTATTATCACAAAATAATTTTAACGGTATTTCTATGCCATCAACAATACACAGCCTAGTGACAAAATTTTGCATTTATATTCCATGATTGGATGCCTCATAAAAAGCTATAAACTCTGCTGCCTTAATGGAAGATGCTACAAGTGTTTGTTTAGCACTCTTTCAAGAAATAGCTCCCCTAGAAAGCAAGTAAATGTAGCATGATGTAGATTTTTTATTATCTCGACATCTGGTGAAATCAAAATCAGAATAACTAATGATCTCCAACTGATTTGACCTCCTGTTTGTTAGCATACAATCATTTGTTCTTTGTAGAAACGGCATGACACATTTGGCTACTTTTCAATGGTCCATACCTAAATTGCTTAAATATCTACCTAACATCCCAACAATATACGCGATATTTGAATGCGTACAAACCTGTGCATATATAAGATTCCCTACAGCATAAGCATAAGGAATCTTTTGCATCTCCATAGTTCTAAATCATTCTTGGGGCATTGACTTAAAGTAAACTTGTCTCCTTTAGACATAGGGGTGTCTCTTGGTTTACAATCCTGCATGTCAAATCTTTTAAGAACCTTTTCAATATAGCTCTTCTGTGATAATCTAAGAATACCCCGAGAGTGATCCCATTATATCTAGATCCCTAATACAAAATAGGCATCCCCAAGATCTTTCATCTTAAATTTTGTTGTCAGAAATTTCTTGGTTTTGTGCAATAAGCCTATATCACTACTGGCAAGTAGTATGTCATTAAGATAGAAAATCAGAAAAATATATTTACTCCCACTAAACTTATGGTATACATAATCTTCCACTAAATTCATCTCAAAACCAAACGAGATGAAGACTTGATGAAATTTGTGATATTATTGACTAGAAGGCTGTTTATGTCCATAGATGGATTTCTTTAGTTTGCCAACCATTTGTTGTGCATCTCCAGATGCAAAGTTTTCTATTTGCAGTATATAAATCGTCTCATCAATGTCACCATTGAGAAATGCTGTCTTAACATCAACCTAATGTAACTCCAGAACAAAATGTGCCATTAAAGCCATTATAGTCCTGAAAGCATCTTTCAACGAAACTGGAGAGAAAGTCTCTTTATAATTGATGCCTTCTTTCTATGTAAAGCCCTTAGCAACAAGACAAGCCTTGTACCTCTCCACATTACCTTTCGAATCCCTCTTGGTTTTAAATATCCATTTGCAACCGATAGACTTCGCATCCGTAGGCAATGGGACAAGATCTCAAACGTTATTATCTTTCATGGACTTTATCTCTTCATTCATGGCATCAATCTACCTATGAGAGTTAGAACTTTCCATGGCGTTACGGAAGTTTATAGGATCATCTTCCACCGTGCCAATGTCAAACTCATGTTCTTGGAGATATACAATATAATCATCTGATATTGCACTTCTCCTCCCTCTTGTGGATCTTCTTAATGGTGTAAGTTCTTGTGGGTGTGAAGTTTGTGCTTCAGGAACAGTTTTCTGAACAGGAACGGGAGATACTATAACATTGTCTTGATTTGGAGTTACTTCTTAAATAATGCTAGATATAAGAACCTAATTCTGATCATTATCAAGAGCACCTGAGGGAATAGGAATATTAACCCATTCCTTTTTAAAAACAAGGTTGCGAACTCTTTCTTCCATCGCAAACTCAACATCCTCAAAGAACTAGGCATTTTCTGTCTAAAAAATTTATCTTAATAGTGGGATCATAAAACTTGTAACCCCTGCATCGCTAAGAATAACCAACAAAATAACAACTAACAGTCTTGGAGTCCAGTTTCTTTTCTTGTGATCTATAAGGCCTAGCCTCAGCTAGATATCCCCAAATATGCAAATGTCTCAAACTAGGCTTCTTGATTGTCCAAAGCTCATAAAGGGGTAAATATGTTTAGTTGGAACTCTATTGAGTAATAATGTTTCAGTCTTTAATGTTTCTCTCCAGAGTGATTTAGGTAAGGTAGAATGACTAATCATACTCCTTATCATGTGAATAAGTGTTCTAATTTTCCACTCTGTAACACTATTTATGGTAGGAGAACATGGCATGGTGTACTGTGGGACAATATCGCATTCCTTTAATAATCGAGTAAACGACCCTAGACACTATTCACCTAATAATCAGATATGCCATAGTATTCACTACCATGGTCAGATGTAATAGCCTTAATCTTTTTGTTGATTTGATTTTCAACTTTTACTTTAAACTTTTGAACACATCCAGGGACAGGGACTTTTCATGAATGAGATATAGGTAGTCATATCTTGAATAATCATATATGAATATTATAAAATATTGTTGACCATTCCAAGAAGCCGTAGGAAACAGTTCATAAATATCTGTATGAATGAGTTCTAATATGCCCATAGCTCTGTTGGCACATAATCTCTTAATGTTTATCTATTTCCCCTTGATACAATGAACACATCTATCAAAATCTGAAAAATCAAGGGGAACTAGAATTTCATCTGACACAAGTCTCTCAATTCTCCTTTGGGAGACGTGACCTAATCTCTTATGTTATAAAGAAGTAGAATCCTCCTTGGTTAATTTTCTCTTTATACCTCTTGTACCAACATGTAAGGATTCATTATAAGAAGCAATTGTATCAAGCAAATAAAGATTATCATGCACTGATAAAGAACCAGAACCAACCATGTTTCTTTTGGTTTCCCGGAGCTTTACAGAAGAAACAAACATTTTCTGTATGAGCCTTTTAATGCTTCTTCTGTTGTACTAAAACCGCAATAGATTTACCTGTTTGCTTTTTCTTGTTGTTCTTATTCTTTGAGATCACTGCTAAATGAGCACTCTCTGTCCTCTCAAACTTGAGTCTTTCCTTCTCTTGAACACAATGTGAAATGAGTTCATTCAGATTCCAGGATTCTTTTTGACAGTTGTATGTCACCTTAAAATGATTAAACTGTGGTGGAAGAGAAATTAAAACAAAGTACATAATTACTTCTTCTAACAATTCCACTCTAAGTGCTTTGAGTTTTGCATGCACATGTGACATCTCCATTATGTGCTTTCTAATGTTTTCATTTCCCATATACCTTATGGAAACAAGAGTCGACAGAAGTGTACATGCCTCGACCTTATTACTTCTGATGAAACGTTGTTCTAGAGAATGAAGAAAATCTCTACCTGTTATGATCTCATCAGACATAGTGCCCTGAAAAGCCTCTAGAATAGCCTGTTCCGTAACCAACATCCTCATACGGTTTGATCGATCCCATCTTTCAAACTCCTTTTCCTCAGCGGTGCTGTCAGGAGTAATCAGATTAAGTTGATCAACCCATAAAGCCCAATCCAGATCCATAACTCCAAACACGAGTCGAACACTATTCTTCCATTGCTTGAAATTTTTATCGTTCAACATTGGATGGAATTAACATTTGCGGTGATACTTCTAGTAGAAAAGGAAGTTGAACAGTGAACATACAAAAATAAATTAATTAATACTCACATAAAACTATAAATCATAAAATTTAATAACAAATTTTAAATAAAGGTATATTCTCATGTTAAGATACTGAGCACTCCATTAACACTCCATCTTTAGACAGAATATTAACTTGTAA